CTGTTATGTATCTGTGTGAATGCTAACATAATATATAATCAAAAAAGAAAACATCTGCTCACCAATAAATCCCTTGCTTAATGATGAAAAGAGCATTTATTTTACACAATAAATAATTTTGCAACATAATTATCTTTCTTGTTAGTGTCATTGGAGTAGTCAGGAATATTAATCACAAGGATCATTCAGATTTTAAATAATTTTTATGATTAGGCTATGGATTTATTGATGATATGCTTGTATTAAATTTGATGAGTTTATCCCCAATTTTAATCTGAAAGTACATCTTATTTGAAAATAGGAAAAATGCAATATAGAAATAGGTAGACAAAAATTATATAGAATATAAATTTCTATATTTTACAACATGAATGACAAACAAGAAAGAGATGATTGGATAGAACAAGTCACGTGATATGCTTTTCTACTACAAATGACCAGGGTTACTGAGTACACTCCCATGCAAAACTCAGACAGTAATTTGGAGCTGACCCATAGAGATAAAAACAGTTCATCCACAGCAGTTAGCAACCAATCCGCAACAACACAGTCAGAGGAACGACAGTCAGCAAAAATACAATCAGTGAAGGACAGTCGTCGAAAGACTGTCAGCAAACCAGACCAGGCCTCGGTCAACAACATTAAAATATGTGTATGTTAGCGAGGATTTTTCTACATACAATGCCACCACAAAAGTAAGTCATGTCTTCACTCTCTATGTTCACTGTGTTTTAAAATTACTGCTATCACACACAATCAGTCAGCAGTCACACACATTTCATTAGTGTGTGCTTCACACACAACACATATTGGCATACAAAACAGTTTGCAGACTCACTTGTGGCAAATCATTTCAAACAATCAAACTTTTGGTCTCTTCATGTCAACAACAAAGAACATTGATTTTTAATATATAAGTACATGTATTTGACTGTATAAATGTTATTGTCATATTTAGATTGGTCTTCTTACTTTTCTGTGAAGATCATTTTTTTATGTTGCTTAAAAAAATTGTGTTGTATTTATGGACACTTGTAATTTATTTTTCTACCTAAAATTCAGGTAGACTGACACCACACTTCTCAACAAAATTTGCCAAAACTTGTATGAATTAATTTGTGCTGCCTAAATATATTATATATATATATATATATATATATATATATATATATATATATATATATATATATATAGGATCCAATGGATATATTGACATCTAAATTGCACAAAAATGAAAATAACACTGACATCTCATTTTAACAGATTTATTTAGATATTTACCAAAATTACACAAAAATATCTTGAAATACGAAAAAGTAAATTTATTCAATAAAATCGCCATTGGCTTCAACTGCACCCTCCAGACAACTTCAGAATTTCCTGCAACTCTTCTGGATGGTTTGCATTTTTAAGTTGGTGACTGCTGCCATAATCCTTGCCTTCAGTTCATCTTTAGTGTTACAAAGAGTTTTGTTGGTCTCTCACTCAACTGCATCCCACACATAATAATCAAGGGCATTGCAGTCTGGGGAGTTAGGTGGCCAGATGTAAGAAGTTATGTGGTTGCAGAAATTGTCTAACAGCCATGACAGGTTCTCCTGCTTGTGTGGCCTGTTGCCAGACATAGAGTCTTGCAGCAGCCACCCTCTTGACCTAGGCACTTGATATAGGTCTCTGTGTTGAGTCTGAGGCACTCACCAATAAATTTGGGAGTTCTTTTCTTATTAGAATGATCAGAGTAAGTTTTCCAAGTTATTGTATTTTCATAATCACCATCAGATGCATCCAACTCTTTTTGAATCTTCTGCACTGTCCTCAGATTGACACCCAAATTGACACTCTGAAATGTTCATATTTGTGAATGGCAAGCAGTACAGCTTGCTGTTTCCAAATTTCTGGTGGAGTGAATCACATCATTAGGGCACCGTCTGTTTCTCACAGACAGTGCCCAACTTACAAAACCAAAAACAAAACAATGTGTATATGTGAAATAAAAAATATAAAATAGCAACAATTTACCCATCGCACCCTGTATATATAAACAATACTCAAATATTACTGCCTTTAAGTCTTCTGTTGACTCCCAGTTTATTACACAGCTGTCTCAGTCCTCAGTCTGTTCGAAGAACAAGATACTCAGTTCTATATTTTCTCTTATCATTTTTTTATATTTATTATATTGGCTCTTTTTATATATCTTTTTATATTTTACATCAACCACTGCTCTTTATTCTTATTTGTTTATATATATATATATATATATATATATATATATATATATATATATATATATATATATATATATATTTTTATTATTATTATTATTATTATTTCCATGTTTTTATAATAAAATTGATATTACTCCAATTAATGTAGAAAAAAATTCTGGATATACTGATATTTATATTTTAAATTAACAATGTGAATTTCAGCCCATAAAATATCTTTTTATTTGAAATATTTGTAATAATTTATAATTTTAGTGTTTCATCATGTCATAAATATATGTATATAATAGCATGTGTATTGATTTTTTCTTAATTTCATATATATATATATATATATATATATATATATATATATATATATATATATACATATCTGTGTGTGTGTGTTTGAAATTACTATGTATCAGAAGAAAGATATAACCTGAAAAGAGAAACAAGATATTGTAAAGTTACTGAGTGATAAGAACAGAATGTTGGAAATTGCAATAAAGTTGAAGAAAAAGAAATCAAACATATTAGCAAGATAAGAAAAACTAACTTTAAGGATGTTCCAAAAAGAGATTTGAGAAAAATTAAAACAATAATAAACAAGAAAATTGAATTGAGTAACAATATCTGAAGAAGCTGATTGCTATTTATATTGTTGATACTTTTGTTCTCATTTTTATTGATATATTCAAGTCATTTTGACTATTGTATGCTCCTGCTCTTTTCAGGTAATATTTGCTGGAATTTTGAAACCAAACCAATTTAGTTCATGGGAATAGGTTGTTCTAATTCCACATACCATGCCTTTCGGTATCTCAGTTTTATTTAATTCACATTGATAACTCTCCAAGTTTTTTTTCTCTCCACTGAGGCCAGGGATTGATCTCACAACTCTTTGGGTCAAGTCAATTTTTGGATCAATGAACCATTGCTTTTATTCACTGGGTCATGTGAATGTTACAGTAAAGGTGAAGACAACAGTCCGAAAAAGGTAAATATTGTAAAGAGTTACAATACCTCATCTCATAAATATAGGCAGATCCTGATGAAGGCCAGAGCATACAATGGCCAAAACGTCATGAATGTGACAGCAAAGATGAGGACAACAGTCTGAACAATGTAAATAGTGTAAATAGTTACAATACCTCATCTCATAAATATAATCAGATGTTGAAGCTGCTAGCATGGATAAACTACCACCTTTAAGCAAACATGTCAAAGAGGGATATGCAAGTTTGGTGAAGAAGTAAATTAAACTTAATTTGCCAAAATAAATAATTTAACTAATCAACTGATTCAACTTAGTAGATAACAGTGTAAGAGTAATCTCTTGGGCTAGTATTGTGAACAGTAAAATTATAGATCCTTTCAAAGTTGTGGATGATACAAAGATAAATGCAATTATTTTTAATAAATATATTTATTATAAACTTAAACTCACAAAATATATTGATTGGATAAATATATCCTAAAGGTTTTACCGACATTGTTTGGATAATACTAATTTCATTTTTAAAACACTGACTTGCATAACAAAATCTGGCATATAAAAAGAGAAGATCCTTTAGTTAGAGAATAAAAAATAATACAAAGAGAGAGGGAAAGAAATTTTAAAGTGAACCATTTCATAAGTTTGGTCCTATAATCGATTATAGAATGTAGAAATTGGTTAAAATAGAAAATTAATCAATACAAAATGAAAAACAAATGCAATTTGTATTTTTTTATCAGCTATAGATTAAAAAAAAGTGTTTTACTCTTTGATAGAGTGAATGCCACCAGATATCACTTATAAATTAATTTAAAAAATAAACTTTGATTGCTGTTCAAGGTATTTTTTTTTCTTTTCTTTTCAACTGACTTTTATGCAGGTAAAACTTTCCAACTCACTTTTATGCAGGTAAAAATCAATCCCACAAAATTAGTTTAAAAGTATCCAGATATTTCAAAGCATCTTTATTATTTGTAAATAATCTTAAATTGAAAAACTATTAAAAGATAAAGTTTTGTTTTTGTTAATGGCAAAAGAATTGTTTTATTTGGCTTCCTTTAATTTGCATATTTTTTTTTTTTTTGCTTTTGTCATCAATATGCTTATTTGAAAATTCTTTCCTGATTTTTGCTATTTTGAAATCTTTCAGCTTTGCTCTCAAACAGAAATCTCTCTAACATGATTTCACTGGCAAACAATCAAGAACAGACAATCTGTGCTTTGACAAAAGGCGTCAAAATGAGGCTTGCCCAGGGGATCTTATCACAAAAGATTGCTCTTTATGGTGGAATTCATTTTCTGAAGACGAGTTTCACCATCTGAAACTTGATTCTCTAATTTCTTGGAAATTACAAAACCAAATTCTTTGCAATCATCCTGCCATGATACAATTTTTTAGTTTGCTGAAATATGGATAATTCTCATCATAATAAATTTTTATTTAATTTCTAGTCGTGTTTTGTTGTTTTTATTTTGGGAGATAATTTTTTAACAATTCACAATTGTACCGTTTATATGGTTTGCTAATTGAAAAACTATGTTGAAGAAGAAAAAGAAAAAGAATTTAATTTCCCTAATCAATGTTGAATATTTTCTTTGTACCTTTTTAACAGCTCTAGTCTCAAATGTTGCATTAGCAATGGGACTGGAGACAAAATGTTAATCAAGCCACACTAAATTAAATTAGATAATTACAAGACTTTTATATTTTTATATTTTATTTATTGATTCTTTTTTTTCTTTTAGTTGTCTTTGAAAGAAAAATGTCGAATTAAAGAAAAAAAAGAGTAAAATCAGGAGAAAAAGAATAACAGAAGAATGAATTTCATATAAAGAAACAAAGAATAAAGGGATTGGAATGAGAAGCAGTGAATGAAATCAGAAATAAAATCAATGAGAAAAAGGATGGGAGGAGGAGGAGTAAGAAGAAGAAGAAGATGAGGAGGAGGAGGAGGGGAGGAGGAGGAGAAAGAAGATGAGGTGGTGGTAGAAAACAGGAATGTGCAGAAAGAAAAAGTCAGAAAGCCCAAGAAAAGAGAGAAACTGAAAAAGAGAAGAAGAAAGAGAAGCAAAAGAGAAAAGGGAAAAAGAAAGAGAATGGTAATAAAAAAGGAAGTGAGAAAAGAGAGTTTATGAAGACTGACAGTAGAATAGAAGAGGAAGGAAAATAGAAAGAAAGGGAAGAAGAAAAAGTGCAAAGGAAGTAGAAATGAAGATTGACAACGTAAATCATGAAAAATATAACATCGGCTATTTTGCAGCAAAAGGTGTCACTCTTTTCACAATTACTTATCCAAATTGTGCAGATGATATAATCAAATAAGTAAAAATTGCAATTGCTCATAAATTGCCAGTTTTATTTTATTTTGTTTATTGATACTTTTGTATCTCACAAAATAGTTCATCATTTTTCATTTATCCATGTGAAAAAAGACAATTTAATTAACTAGTCAAATAATCCTTTGAAAGTAATCAAATTCCCAAGTAACACTGCATTTTGGTTAATTTTTGAGAGAAGTGGATCATAGATAAAAGAATGTGAATATGAATGAAGTGGGAAAAGAAAAGAAAATGAGATGTAATGAAGTAAAATTAAACCAAGAGAAAGAAGATGATCAAAAGAAAAAGGAAAAAGAAAATTGTGTTGGTGGTGAGATTGGAGATAAAGAAAGAAAGATCGAAGGAAGCAAAAGGAAAAGACAAAAAGAAATCATGGAAAAAAAAATAAGAAAGATCAAAAGAGGAAGTCGAAGAAAGAGCAACTAAGAAGAGATTAAGAGAGTGGGAGAGAAAAGCAAATAGGAAAAAGAAGAATAAAAAATGGACACCAAAGTTGAGGAACGTAAGTTAAGAATAGAGAAGAAAGTAAACAAGTGATAGAGTTGAGAGGTAAGAATAAAAAGATTAAAAGAAAGAAGGAAATATTATTGAGGATGAAGAAAATAAAGCTTTAAAAATCTGTAGAGGAGCATAAAAATAGAACAGAAGTAAGATAAACAGAAAAATAAAAAGAAATAAACTATCACAATTTTGTGTCTATATTTCTGAGATGAGGTATTATAACTATTTACACTTTTTACATTGTTCAGACTGTTGTCCTCATCTTTTTTTAAAGCACTCTTTACTTCTTGTTCCTCCTTTTCATCACCAATATTTCCTTCTTTCTTTTCTTTTTTCCTCTAGATATACAAAGTTCTTTAGTCTATTAACAAAATTGTGAGAATTTACACTATTTACATTATGAAATGGACAAAATCTGACAATTATTTTAGACATTTGTTATGTTTATACATTCTTTTTATAGATACAAATATTTAAATAAATGCTCTGTTTATAATAAACAGTATTAACAACATTTACTGGCCTGAATGTCCGAGAAATTTTCATAGAAAATATGCGTCCTCCAACAGGAATCGAACCTGTGTCCTATATGGAACAGTCATTTAGTTTCACGTGCCTTTACCGATTTGGCCACACATTCAGTTAGCAAGGTTGATTTTACTGTATTTAAACACTATTCTCCATGATTTTCTCTCATACATTCATATCTGCTCAATGCATATCCAAATGTAAACAAATGACATCACACATTATGAAATGGACAAAGTCCAACAATTATTTAAGACATTTTTTATGTTTATACATTCTTAAATATTTGTATCTATAAAAGGAATGTATATTTACATTGTTCAAACTGTTGTACTCATGTTCCAACGTATATCACCTGAAGAAGGCCGGAGCGTACAACAGTCGAAACGTTGTGAATATGACAATAAAGATGAGGACAACAGTCTGAACAATGTAAATAGTGTAAATTGTCATAATTTTGTTGATAGGCTAAAGAAGAACTTTGTATATCTAGAGGAAAAAAAGAAAAGAAAGAAAGAAATACTGGTGATGAAAAAGAGGAAGAAAAAGTAAAGAGTGCTTTAAAAATTTGAAGAGGAGACTAAAAAATAAGGATGGAAGACAAGCAAAAAATTAGAAGTAAAGCCTCACCAATTTGTTGGTTGACAAAAGAGGGAACTTTCTATGACTAGAGGAAAATAAAGAAAGAAAAGATGGAAATATCAGTGTGGAGAAGTTGGGGGAGAGAGCTCTAAAAATCAGGGGCAGAAGCTAAAAAGTGAAAGGAAGACAAACAACAAAAACAGAAATAAATTTTTGATTGGAGAAGAAATTTTGCACATCTACAGAAAAAGAAGTAAAAGTTTCAGATCTTGGCAAAAAGGAAAGGTTTCTGAAAAAAATGAACCAAAGATGGTGCAAGGAATTTTGAGAGTTTTTTTGGTTGGTTACTTTTTCAAGCTATAACAAATTTTTGTTGAAGGCTTCGAACCCAACAAAGCTACTTACTGTTTGATTGCTCCTTTTCTAATTACAGATAATTCTATCTGTTAATTGGCTCTCAAATGTTGGTCTTTAGTTTCTGGGAACCAATTTCAAATACTAACAAGATGATTAGTTGTCACTAATCTAATTGCTGCCACTGTCGTCTTGTAATTTGGTCTGGGAATGTTTACCTGTATACCTGTCACGTGAATTGCTAATTACAGCACAGAGACAACTAATTATACATGGGATCAATGCATTGTCAAGTGCACCATTTCTTAAATTGCACTTTTGCAGCCAAAAAGATGTACAAATGCTGCTTTTTTACTTTGCTATTCTTTTAATTACTTGTTTTTATCATTTTTTTTTTTATTTTTTTTATTTTTATGGTTTGGATTCCTCCAAGATATTTTGTCAGAAGTCAAATTTGTTTTCCACATTAGGAATGTAATTTTCCATATACATGCATTAATATTGTACAGGTCTTCTTTAAAAAATAATCTCATTGTGAATCCAGTAATCAGCTAAGCAGAGAGGAACTTGTAAAAAATCTTGTCGCAGAAACCTTCAATTAGATTGCTTCTGTAGAAAGGTAGTATTTATATTAATACAGACAGGAATATCTATTATTGTATTAAAAGAGATGAGTACAAAGAGATTATCTAAAAACATTGATAAATATATATATATATATATATATATATATATAGATAGATAGATAGATAGATAGATAGATAGATCTGTATTTAGACAGCAAATTCTCTTTTAGGCATGTCTGATTGAATAAATTAAAAACATTATGTCTACTTATTTTGATCATAATCTTTTCATATTCACAAATATTTTTCCCGTTTCTTATAATTAATTGTAATATATGGAAAAATATTTATGAATATGAAAGGATTATGATCAAAATAAGCAGACATAATGTTTTTAATTTATTTAACCAGACATCTCTTTCTCTCTCTCTCTCTCACTCTCTCTCTCTCTCTCTCTCTCTATATATATATATATTTGCTCACTGCTCATTTTATAACTATATACTCTTTTCCTACAGCATTGGAGCCCTTTTGCCTTTGCAACAACACCAATCTTTCTTGGCATAGATTCAACAATTCTTTGGAAATATTTTTTGAAATTTAGGTCTATGCTCTTATGGCATCTCACAATACTTCTGGATTCCTTGGTTGCACATACATGATTCAATTCTCACCACATACAAAAGATACTCTATGGGATTGAGAAAACTCATTGCTGTGTTTCATGAACTAATTTGCCACTTTGCATAGTCCTTCTAGGAGTGGCCATCAAACGATGGATGCACCATAATCATAAATTTAGGCATATAGTCAAAATACTTAGGTAGGTTGAAACATTTAAACAATCATTTATTGGTAGTAAGGATCTCAATGTATGGTAAGAAAATATTCCCCATACCATGAGACGACGACCACCAGCTTGAACTGTTGATACAAGGCTCGATGGATCTGTACTTTCATGTTGCTTATGCCAAATTCTAGCTGTGTCCTATCTGAATGGTACTGCAGAAATTGTGACTCATCAAACGAGACAACATTTTCCAAACTTCTATCACCCAATTTTTATGATCTTTAGTGAATTGTAGCCTAAGTTTCTTGTTCTATTGTAGCCCATCTTCATCAAGGTTTGATATTTTTTTATGTTCAGAGATTCTCTTCTATGGAATATCCTAGAAATGGTTGCACATGAAAATCCTAGTAGAACAGTGGTTTTTGTAATTAACCAGAAACCTCATATTTTAAAGTCAATTAAATTGTCTTTCTTATACTAATGCATAAAATAAAATTCATCAGGTTGCCATGACCATGTTTAAATGCATATATCTATTAAATTGCTGCCACTACATTAGAAATTTGAATAAATGTGTGCATGTTCATGTGCACTCAGTGAAATGACCAGTGAGTGCATATATGTCTATATTGGAATATATTTAATTCTTTTGTACATATATAAAAGATAAATAGAAATAAAATGTATATATATATATCAACATATATTTATTATATTTCCCTGTGGGATATAGGCAATCATGACTATCAACAGCATATATATATATATATATATATATATATATATATATATATATATATATATATATATATATATTAGATAGATATATATATATATATATATATATATATATATATATATATATATATATATATATATATATATACATAGATAGATTGATAGATAGATAGACAGACAGTCTATATATATATATATATATATATATAAAGATAGATATATAGATAGATAGATAGATATAGATAGATAGATAGATAGATAGATAGATAGATGTATATATATATATATATATACATATCTCATATATAGATGAATCAACAAGTGTATATGGAATACAAATTACATATATATATATATATATATAACCAACAATTACAAATACAATTATAAATATATTGTTTATTCAGAAAATTATAACCTATTTCAAAATTTTAAAATATAAAATTAACATATTCTATTTATCTTTTTTTTTTTTTTATAATTTTCAAATAAATAATTATATATATATACATAGATATATAGATAGAGTCTATATATAGAGAGATATAGATAGATAGATAGATAGATAGATAGATAGATGTCTCAAAATATCTGTTTATTTAATATCATTTCCCTCAATATGTTCTGTTTATCATTTTAGTGTCAAATTCTCCAAGTTCTTTCCTCATATGCTATACAGATGATTGATAACAGTATCTGTTTATTTATTTTTTTTCAAGATACACAACAGTACACACACATAGATAAACATCAACAGTACATCATTTCCCATACATGACTATACATACATATTATATATATATATATATATATATATTTCTGTGGGATAACAATTAATCACATCTGTTTATTTTAATTTCTATTGTTTCTGTTTATTTATTTTTTTAATTGACTATCAACAGGTATCATTTTGTGGGATTATCTTGACTATCAACAGTATCTGTTTATTTAAATTTCTGGGATATAGGCAATCATGTCAATAGCTGTTTATTTAAAATTTCCTGTGGATATGCAATCATGTGTATCTGTGTGTGCAATGACAATCATGCAGTATCTGTTTATTTATTATCATTTCCTGTGGGATATAGGCAATCATGACTATCAACAGTATCTGTTTATTTATTATCATTTCCTGTGGATATAGGCAAATGACTATCAACAGTATCTGTTTATTTATTATCATTTCCCTGTGGGATATAGGCAATCATCTGTTTATTTAATATCATTTCTTGGGATATAGGCAATCATGACTATCAACAGTATCTTTTTATTTAATATCATTTCCCTGTGGGATATAGGCAATCATGACTATCATTTCAGTATCTGTTTATTTGTTTATCATTTATTCAGAAACAGTATTTGGATTAGGCAATCATGACTATCAACAGTATCTGTTTATTTATTATCATTTAGGCACCATGATATCAAGTATCTGTTTATTTAATATCATTTCCCTGTGGGATATAGGCAATCATGACTATCAACAGTATCTGTTTATTTATTATCATTTTCAGTATCTGTTTATTTATTATCATTTCCTGTGGGATATAGGAAAATCATGACTTTGTTTATTTATTATCATTTCCTATAGGCAATCATGACTACAGTATCTGTTTATTTATTATCATTTCCCTGTGGGATATAAACATGAATCATTTTTATCAAATATCATTTTCTGTTTTATTTAATATCATTTCCCTGTGGGATATAGGCAATCATGGCTATCAACAGAATCTGTTTATTTAATATCATTTCCTGTGGGATAAGATTCTGTTTTTCATTATCATTTCCCTGTGGGATATAGGCAATCATGACTATCAACAGTATCTGTTTATTTATTATCATTTCCCTGTGGGATATAGGCAATCATGACTATCAACAGTATCTGTTTATTTAATATCATTTCCCTGTGGGATATAGGCAATCATGACTATCAACAGTATCTGTTTATTTATTATCATTTCCCTGTGGGATATAGGCAATCATGACTATCAACAGTATCTGTTTATTTATTATCATTTCCTTGGGATATAGGCAATCATGACTATCAACAGTATCTGTTTAATTATCATTTCCCTGTGGGATATAGGCAATCATGACTATCAACAGTATCTGTTTATTTATTATCATTTCCCTGTGGGATATAGGCAATCATGACTATCAACAGTATCTGTTTATTTATTATCATTTCCCTGTGGGATATAGGCAATCATGACTATCAACAGTATCTGTTTATTTAATATCATTTTGTGGGATATAGGCAATCATGACTATCATCATTTCCCTGTGGGATATAGGCAATCATGACTATCAACAGTATCTGTTTATTTATTATCATTTCCTGTAGGATATAGACAATCATGACTAAGTATCTGTTTATTTATTATCATTTTCCTGTGGGATATAGGCAATCATGACTATCAACAGTAGAATTTCAACAGTATCTGTTTGGGATATAGCAATCATGACTATCAACAGTATCTGTTTATTTATTATCATTTCCCTGTGGGATATAGGCAATCATGACTATCAACAGTATCTGTTTATTTATTATCATTTCCCTGTGGGATATAGGCAATCATGACTATCAACAGTATCTGTTTATTTATTATCATTTTATCTGTTTATTTATTATCATTTCCTGTGGGATATAGAAATCATGACTATCAACAGTATCTGTTTATTTATTATCATAATATAGGCAATCATGACTATCAACAGTATCTGTTTTTTTTATCTGTTTATTTATTATCATTTCCCTGTGGATGGGATATAGCAATCATGACTATCAACAGTATCTGTTTATTTAATATCAGCAATCATGACTATCAACAGTATCTGTTTATTTATTATCATTTCCCTGGGGAGTATCTGTTTATTTAATATCATGGGATATATCAATCATGACTATTCAGTATCTGTTTATTTAATTTCCTGTGGGATATAGGCAATCATGACTATCAACAGTATCTGTTTATTTATTATCATTTCCTGTGGGATATAGGCAATCATGATTTATCAACAGTATCTGTTTATTTATTATCATTTCCTGTGGGATATAGGCAATCATGACTATCAACAGTATCTGTTTTTATTATCATTTCCTGTTTGGGGATTTATGGGGCATGTATCAACTATCTGTTTATTTATTATCATTTCCCTGTGGGATATAGGCAATCATGACTATCAACAGTATCTGTTTATTTTTGGGATATAGGCAATCATTTCAGTATCTGTGGGATATAGGCAATCATGACTATCAACAGTATCTGTTTATTTATTATCATTTCCTGTGGGATATAGGCAATCATGACTATCAACAGTATCTGTTTATTTAATATCTGGCAATCATGACATCAACAGTATCTGTTTATTTATTAGGCAATCATGACTATCAACAGTATCTGTTTATTTATTATCATTTCATTTGACTATCAACAGTATCTGTTTATTCCTGACTTTAACAGTTTGTTTATGGGGGGCAATCATGACTATCAACAGTATCTGTTTGTTTATTTTTATTATCTATTTCCATTTCCCTGTGGGATATAGGCAATCATGACTATCAACAGTATCTGTTTATTTATTATCATTTCCCTGTGGGATATAGGCAATCATGACTATCAACAGTATTGTTTATTTATTATCATTTCCCTGTGGGATATCAACAGTATCTGTTTATTTAATCATTTCCTGTGGATATAGGCAATCATGACTATCAACAGTATCTGTTTATTTATTATCATTTCTGTGGATATAGGCAATCATGACTATCAACATTTATTTCTGTTTATTTATTATATCTGTGGGATATAGGCAATCATGACTATCAACAGTATCTGTTTATTTATTATCATATCAACAGTATCTGTTTATTTATTTCATTTCCTGTGGGATATAGGCAATCATGACTATCAACAGTATCTGTGGGATTGTGTGGGATATAGGCAATCATGACTATCAACAGTATCTGTTTATTTATTATCATTTTCATGACTATCAACAGTATCTGTTTATTTATTATCATTTTGTGGGATATAGGCAATCATGACTATCAACAGTATCTGTTTATTTATTATCATTTCCTGTGGGATATAGGCATGACTATCAGTATCTGTTTGACAGTATCTGTTTCTGTTTACAGTGGGATATAGGCAATGTTTATTTATTTATTATCATTTCCTGTGGGATATAGGCAATCATGACTATCAACAGTATCTGTTTATTTATTATCATTTCCCTGTGGGATATAGGCAATCATGACTATCAACAGTAGTTTATTTAATATCATTTCTGCAATCATGAATTTATTTATTATCATTTCCTGTGGGATATAGGCAATCATGACTATCAACAGTATCTGTTTATTTATTATCATTTCCCTGTGGGATATAGGCAATCATGACTATCAACAGTATCTGTTTATTTATTATTTCATTTCAGTATCTGTGGGATATAGGCAATCATGACTATCAACAGTATCTGTTTATTTATTATCATTTCCCTGTGGGATATAGACAAGTATCTGTTTATTTAATATCATCTGTGGGATATAGGCAATCATTATATCTATGTTTTTTATTATCATTTCCTGTGGGATATAGGCAATCATGGTATCTGTTTATTTAATCTGTGGGATATGACTATCAACAGTATCTGTTTATTTATTATCATTTCCTGTGGGATATAGGCAATCATGACTATCAACAGTATCTGTTTATTTATTATCATTTCCCTGTGGGATATAGGCAATCATGACTATCAACAGTATCTGTTTATTTATTTTTGGGATATAGGCAATCATGACTATCAACAGTATCTGTTTATTTATTATCATTTCCTGGGATATAGGCAATCATGACTATCAACAGTATCTGTTTATTTATTATCATTTCCTGTGGGATATAGGCAATCATGACTATCAACAGTATCTGTTTATTTATTATCATTTCCCCTGTAGGATATAGGCAATCATGACTATCAACAGTATCTGTTTATTTATTATCATTTCCCTGGGATATAGGGGATATAGGCATTTCCTGTGGGATATAGGCAACATGACTATCAACAGTATCTGTTTATTTATTATCATTTCCTGTGGGATATACAATCATGGCAATCTGTTTATTTATTATCATTTCCCTGACTATATCAACAGTATCTGTTTATTTCTGTTTATTTAGGCAATCATGACTATCAACAGTATCTGTTTATTTATATCATTTCCCAATGGGATATACAATCATCAACAGTATCTGTTTATTTATTATCATTTCCTGACTATGTATCTGGATATAGGCAATCATGACTATCAACAGTATCTGTTTATTTATTATCATTTCCCTGTGGGATATTCATTTATCAACAGTATCTGTTTATTTATTATCATTTCCTGTGGGATATAGGCAATATCAACATGACTATCAACAGTATCTGTTTATTTATTATCTTTCCTGTGGGATATAGGCAATCATGACTATCAACAGTATCTGTTTATTTATTATCATTTCCTGTGGGATATAGGCAATCATGACTATCAACAGTATCATATCATTTCCTGTGGATATAGGCAATCATGACTATCAACAGTATCTGTTGTTTATTTATTATGTATCATTTCCCATGACTCATGTGGGATATTTAGGCAATCATGACTATCAACAGTATCTGTTTGTTTATTTGGATTTTATCATTTCCCTGTGGGATATAGGCAATCATGACTATCAACAGTATCTGTTTATTTATTATCAT